AACCAGAGAAGAATTTGATTCCAGAGCCTTTGCCAAAGCTGTTGCTCCTATATCTCCAATCTGATTATTTGAAATATACAACTCATCCAGAGAAGAATTTGATTCCAGAGCTTTTCCCAAAGCTGTTGCTCCTATATCTCCAATCTGATTATGTGAAATATCCAACTCATCCAGAGAAGAAATTGATTCCAGAGCCTTTGCCAAAGCTGTTGCTCCTATATCTCCAATCTGGTTATTTGAAATATCCAACTGATTCAGAGAAGAGTTTGATTCCAGAATTTTTGCTAAAATTGTTGCTCCCAAATCTCCAAGCTGTCGAGAATGGAAGTTTGATTTTCTTTTTAGCAGGTTCTCACTTTCATTATTTAATAATAAATTTAAACAACAATATATTTCTTTACATAATGGTCTATTGTTAGGATTTTCACTCCAACATTTTGAATATAACACAATATATGCTTCAGGTGTTTGAGAAAATGGAGGATCACAGTAACCTTGCTGCCTATACTTAAAAACTTCAAAACTTTGAGTACATCCTTCACATGGGAGTTTGCCACTAGAAATTTCCCAGAGTACTACTCCAAGACTAAAAATGTCTGACTTTTTTCCCCGTTTATATGATCTATCATTAAATGATAAGGGATCTCTGTATGCTGCAGTGCCTTCCCCTCTTGATGTAGACATAATTTGTCCTAGTAAAGTGGACAGACCAAAGTCTGTAATCTTTGCTATGCCAGATTGTATGAGAATATTTACAGAAGACTAATGTAAATAGAAAAAGTCCAGGAATGTGAGATAATGGCTTGCAGCATGTAAATGATAAAAATAAGAAGCATATTAACATTACCAAATCCTTGTGAACTATACCAAGGTCATGCAAGTGTTTTAGCCCATTAGTAATATCCAAGCCCAACTTGTACTTATCTTTCCAAGTTAAACTATCAAAATAACAAGATAGATGTTTATGCAATGTTCCGCCTTCAGCAAATTCAAACACCATGCCATAACTTTCACTTTCATCTGAAAAATTGGGGGGTAAGTCATGATTCTTTGAAAAATAATCATTAAATATGAAATTACAAAGCATACCTTTATATAGACCTAGGAACTGAATGACATTTGGATGACTGCCCACATTTCTGTGGTTCTTAAGCTAATGCATTGATAAATTGTTCAAAGTTTTACTCTAGTTATATAGAATGTGGTAAAAAATGTTAAAGACCATATAAAAAGCAGCAACAAACCTCTTTGACAAATTTCTTATAAAACTTTTCTTCACAGTTGCCTTCATCAGGAAACAATATTTTTATGGCAACGTTTTCTCTGGAATGTTTCATTTTTCCCTTATGCACTGCAGCATATGCACCGCGAGCAAAAGCAAAAGGGTTTATACTAATACTGCTTTCGGAATAAGAATTGATAAATCCTTCTCGAATGCTATTTTCGATCCAGTCCTTGGCATTATTAGTATTAGAGCGATTTTCCTGGTAAGCAGATGCCTGGCATTGGTGACGATTGTTCATTAGAATTCATTGATACGCAAACTCGTTTCTTGATCGAGTAATATAACTTGTAGCTGAGATTCTTATCGATACTTACTGGTAGATATGTATGCAAATCTTGACCTAACTGATGATGAGATTGTACTGGCGTGGATACTAGTTGCGATTGTCGTTGAACTTGTTGTTCCCTTTGTAGCAAATGCTGACTTTGTGGCTGATATACTAACTGTTGTCGTTGCTGTTCTTCGTATTGATACGATTGATGTGGTTGAATCTGCGTTGAGGAAAGGTTAACGTTACTGTTGTGTACTTCATCGGTCATATTTGGATATGTTGGGAATAGGTCGGATAATCGTGGGAGAATAACCTGAGACTGTTGTTCGACTGGTGTTGGTAGTGGCAGTGAGTACATCACAAGATCTTCTTGCATAGAGTTTCTTGGCAACTGTTGGTACAAAAGTCGATGCGAGCCATCCACATGTCCCTGTTGTGCGGCGGAGTATGACTGGTTGTCAGGATTAAGCGAAGATTGATGGTGTTGCTGTTGCTGCTGTTGATGATGCTGTTGTTGCTGCTGCTGGATTGACTGTTGTTGTAGATAATTCCATTGTTGCGACATATTGTAGGATAATATTTGTTTGTGGGTGGGCGGAAGTGTATTGGGTATTATTGAATGATTTCACAACCGTATCACAACTTTCTTTTTCAAGCTACATTCTGTAGCACGCATTTTGTGTAAATTCTACGTTTCAGGGGCTCGAACATGAACAATTCCAAGTTCGGTAACACAAACAAACAATATTAGTCAATAACACAATATTGTGCGCATGAAAACTGACTGCTTGACTTGTGAAAAACATTAGGTGTCCCAACACTAAAAGCCAGTATTCTATACAGAGGCTAAATTAATTGCACGAAGCAACAGAGTGTATGCAAATACCAACAATAAACTTCGCTCATTCGACACTTAGTACTCCGTTCCACCATATCGTTTCAATTAAACAGGAGTATCATAGTCTTAACTTTCGGTTAACACTGAAAAACACCGAGTATAATGGACTATTCATTTATTCAAAAATAATATTCTTTTTTTTGATTGTTAAATTTTTCCTTAATGTCAAACTTTTTAAAATTTCCCACTACGCGCGCTACTTGTCGAATACGCTGCTCACCAAGACCTTTACATTTATCGTTGTAATAAAGTCTCAATAACCGAAGTGTATCACTAAGATTATTTAATATTACTTTAAGATGCTCATCGACAACATGATATCGATTGTCAAGGATCAACGCTTTAAGAGGAGGTTTTGATTTTGATAAAAATTTCTGTAGAGATTGTGGTTGAAACCCTAATATTTGAGTTATTTCTAATTTATATAAACACGGTAAATGATACGCAGCAAGGGCATTGAAAAGCTCGTCCACATCAGTTTTCCATCCCAACAAATCCCAAGTCAGTTTTACAGAATGCAAGTTTGGTAGATTTCCAATCATGTTTGCGACTGGTGATATATTGGACTCTGATACAACGATTGACAGGTTTTCAAGACTTTGGCAAGATTCTCGAATAGTCAGACAAACCGAACTATCAATGACCGTAATCCCAATCTTTAAGGTGGTCAAGATCTTTTTATGTTTGCGGATTATCGCCGTCAAAACTTCAGATGAAAAACCCGTTCCAGCCAACACAAGACTTTGTAGATTCGGTAAATCGGCTTTTGTTAATGATCGCACATTGTTCGGTGAAAAGCTTAAATGCGAATGCTGAGTTATGTCGATACTCTTTAGTGTATGGAGCCTGATAAACTTGGAATATTCATCATCACATCTTGATCCGATCGATTCGATCGAAACCGATTCAAGAGTGTGCGCGTTACTGCTCAGCAGTTGTAGGATTGAAGACATGTTCCAAAACAAGTTTCGAAATTTGAGGATTTTTAGTTGACGCTGTGAAGAGAGAAAACTTGCCAGCGTAGTCCTTAATTTTTGTTTATAGTCACAGTTCTCGATATGTATTGTGATCGATTCCATGTCATGTGCGACTTGAGAAAGCGAGGCAAAAACTTCGTTGCACGGTCGTGCAGATGCCCATGTGAATTTTTTCAATTGCGGTAAACTCTGGATAGACGTAAAGAATTTGCTCAATTGAGTGCAAACCTGTGCCTTGGTAACATATAAATAGAGGGCATACCATCGGGGACTGTGTTGCATGACCGACATGAGAATACGAAGTGTCAGCGTTTCTTCGCATGCACCGATCTTTCGGATAGAAAGCCAGTTATTCATTGCCCTCCTCATGAATCCGAAATCGAGTTCTTGCAAGTATAAACTATAATCAAACGTTGAGCGTCTGTCATGGCTCGTATCTAGGGTACTACTAGACCCGTCCAGGATCTTGTCCATGTCTGCAAAGCTTTCGACGAATGTTGTCATAAGATTCTCGCCTTGCTTGATTATCTGTTGCTTTGCACGTCGTTTCTTCTTTTTATACAAGAGCTTGAAAGGGTTGGCCCAGAGATACAAAACAGCCTGTCTAGACCAGTCTTTGTTGATTAGAATGCATGAATGGAGCGTTTTTCTGTCATTAATGCATTCGTTTAGAATAATCGTTAGCAGTTCAGGAGGTAAAGAACCGCTCATCTTGACGGATGGAAGGACTGTGCATAAGGGATAATAAATGTTGAGTAACAACTTCATTGTCGATCAGTCTATTTACGGACTACATCATTTGTTGTGGCGGTGCACATAGCGAGTGTGTGATGAAACTGATTAGATTATTACAGTAATTTCTCGCAATGCACATTGACAATGTGAGTATATAAGACTCTGCTGTGCTGTTATCGTTATCGTTCAAGGGTCCTATTTAAAAATCTGGTTTATTCTTGCTATATCAAACTCAATTATTATGTTTTGTTAATGTATATTACCAGCCAACTTTTAGAATCGAAGAGTGAATCAGTGCGTTTTACTGTAAGTTGCGACAAATTGTGAGCAAGTATAAGGAATATTAAAAAAACGTCATAGTAATAGTAAGCACACGGAAATGGAAGCTCGCTTGTGGAACGATGAAAAATAATCCTCATTATAATGTTTGCTATTTATAGTTAGCCTATTTAAGTAGCGGCTATACACAGACTATCGCTATTAGCTTTCTTTTCCAGTACGTTTGTTACACCTGCTCGTATATAATTTTTTTATTTGTCATTGTCTCACGACGATGGTGATTGTGCATTCTAACGCCTATCATTCTTGCTTTCGTCTTTGCCCCACAATATGATACAGTCTTTCGTAGTAATAAGCGTAATTTTAGCCGTTCTTGTAGAAATTGGTTGCTCGTATTAGTACAGTGCGAATAGTTTGTGGTTTGATGTTTCTGTTGAAGACGACGCTTTTACATCTTGCATTAAATTATCGCCTTCAGCTTATTAACAGCATTACCTATTTTGCACAGAACAAAATTTGTAGAACTATTTTCGCCTTTTGTTTAGAAAGTGAAGTTTTGAATTTTACAATACGGCTAATTGTTAAAGTTCTGCTGTATATAGGCAAAAAAATTTTTTCTGTCATATCTAAACCATTCTTGAAGATCATGATTAGCATACGTCAAAACTTTGTATATTGTGCTAAACAGTACAGTTTGATTGAATAAAAACGTATATCTTATATTGCATTAAATAGTTCTACCACACAAATATACAACAGTTTATCGAGTGTCATTTATTGAAAGATACTGGCAAAATAGAAATAATCTATTTGGAATAAGCTTGCCATTTTGAACATCCTCATGTGAATCGGTTTGCATATCACTGAAACAATACATACTATCTGATATGCATGTGATTAATTTGGTTAATTTTTCTTAATTCAGTTGTTTGATTTTTAGGAAAAAGATAAGTTTGGTGTGTTTATTTTGTTCGTGTGTGTGTTGCACGTGGGTATAAGTTGCTGAAAAAAATTTAGCTGAAACAATAGTTTAAAAGTAAAGCGCAGCCTAAACATTTTATCTATAATCTCATAATTAACCATTTGATCCATCAAGTTTTCGTTCGTGTAACTAAAGAGATGCTAATGGGATTACATATTATAACATGCGCCACATGTTATTGCGTAAATAACTAAAAGTTTCACACAATGTTTAGTATTTTTGATTGTGTAAATAGTAAATTAGCGATTAAATCAATGCATTTAAACATTAATTGTCTCTTAGTCTTATTCTTGATTGTACATTGTTGCTTATGACGCGAGCTCTAGATAAGAGCAGCAGAAATATAGTGGTAGCAAATAATGTCTTTGTTATTATTGATGTTATTATCTGTAAACGGCACGGCTTAAGTTTGTATGGTGTTTAGCTTACTTATATAACATTAATTTTACTCTACGCATAAAGAATTAATATGTCAATTTGATCGTATTGAATGGTGTATTAATGCTGTAAACCATATTGTCAATAAACAATAAAGTAAGTAAAAGTAAGTAGAGTAAAAACAACAAGAAATTAATATTAAGTTAATGAATATTGATGTTAAATATTAACAAGTATAATGCAATATAGCATAATATAATATTCTTCTATTGGTTTTTGACAAACTTTACCGCGCTGTATATGAATACCCTGCTAATAATGCCTCGGATTTGTAAACGGCTTTTACTGAGTTTCAAATATTCCGTCATACTGTATATCTATACATATACTATTAAAAGCTTTTTGTGCCACATCCTTTTTTCTAGTTTTGCAATACAGTACTATTTGACAGCTTAAAATAAGTGATACTTCCAGTCATGGTTAACTAGCCAAATGGAAAACGCCACCCTAACACAAGAGCACCTCCTAAATATAAGAACATAATAACCTTACCTTTTACGGCATTATCTTGGGCGACGGCTCCCACAGTAACGTCTCAATTAAATTTAAACATCCATGGATGAACTAAGCAATATCAATCTTGCCAAGCTAAAGTCTGTGTTCCTTTTTCGCCAAATAACAAGAAATGTCCTCGCTGAAATTTTTATAAATCATAGTAAAGTAAACATCGAAAAACACTTTGGGGAGACAATATTTAGAACCGGCAGCTGTTCTAGTTGACTAAATACTTTTATTGCTATTAAATCAGCGGAATTTAAACTTTGCTTTTAAACTGAACATTGAACCTATATTTATCACATCATTATGTCGCACCATTTATTAGCAGAATGTGCTACCCGTAATTGTTATTCTTGCTGCGATTTGCTTCTTTTTAGTTACATTGTATATTATAATTTAATCTGTACTGACAGTGAATTCTTACCACTTTTAATATACCTCTGTATTCACAGTTTACACGCTTTACATCCCTTCAATTGCCACTACTGGTGAGTTATGATTTTCACTATTTCTTCAACCTCCTACATCGTATTACAATCCATGTTTACTCAGCGTTTTTTTTTTTATTGATTGTACCTCATTCCATCTTTGCGTTTTTTATTCTTACTTTGCTTTCTGCTACTTTTCTTATCGGTGAGTCAATCATTGGAAAGCATGTTAGAAGAACAAGGTAGAATATTCGCAACTGCAATCATTTTATAAATTATTTTGTCAAACTGATGCATGTTTCTGGGATTGGATATAGATTTGTCATTTTGCATAGGCAAGCGCCAACTGTATATAAAGGACTACGCATTTATTACGCTGACCAACCGAGGAGAAATATTTCCTCGATCAAGTTGATATCCATGACTACTTTATTCAGATGTATAGACCCCGAGCTTTTCCTGCGTGATTGATGCAATGATTAAGTAAAATTTGTTAATCTCCGTCTGCACTGATTTAAACCTCAGCTAAATTTTTTCTCAGCTTCTTTTTTTTTAGCAATAGAACAACACAATTACGTAACTAGTAATAACTCGTAGTTAATAGATGCGAGCAAATATATTATTAAAAAAAATTTTGTACTCGATTCATATTCAATTGTGCGTTTTGCATTTAAAAATGGTAGAACAGTTAATTAAACAGTATTAGTTTTTTATTCTAGCCATTTGCTATAGTTATATAATACGGTTACTCATTGCAGTTAATAGTTACGTGTGTTTACTCTGGATGAATATAGCGTATTAGACATACGTTTGATTCTTCATAGTTATAAATAAGCTTTCGTGCTCTAAAGTTACGATAATCAAAAAACATACAGTATAGTTTATTGTTAAAAGACTGCGCGATAAAGTAATGTATACGATAATCGAGTATTTATCCATCTGCCCCACCCGTTTTAATAAAAAAAAAAAAGACTATCAAGAAGATGAATATTATGAGGCGCGGTGAAACCTCACATCTTCTAATTATTTTTAAAAAAATTTTTATTTTAGGTAATGATTATTGTATATAAGTTACAGTAGAGCTACTGAGTTTCATTTAAACATATATGATTTATGATTTATGGCTTGAATTTATTGGTAATTAATGAGCAAGTTTGACGAAATATCCGTGTTAAGTACAAATAACTTTGTAGTTATATATAGAAGGTATTGAATTGACTATATACTACGGTGTATATAGATGTATTGCATAATACAATATGCAAATTTTAATATTTGCGTTTCAGAATTGTTACAATTTGTCGTCATCTATTCTGTAAATATAGAATTTATTTTAGTCAATTATTTATTATAATAATAAACAATAACAAGTTTCTCACTATTTGCATTTGATAAGGTTTATAATCTACAAAGGAAGGCGTAGAGCAAATATACACTATATTTAATTGCTTTAGTGACTGGATTATTTTATTATATATTTAAACATAAACAAAGTTCTACATTGCAAACAATACTTACCTGCTTTAGTTCAAATTACTCATCATAATCAATAACAAAGATTTGCATGTCAAAATAAAATTTTTTGTTGCATCAATATTTGCGAACGCTCACTTACCCGTTTAGTGCGTTTTCAGAACCAACACACTTGTCATCGAAAATTTGCTCATACCTTCAAAGCAGGTAACTGAACCACTAACTCACAGCTATTTTCGGCATAAAATTTTCTGCAACATCGTATAAAGCCATTGATTTAAATATTGTTCAAAATTTTTGGAGCAATTACTAAAATTACAGAAGATAATACATATACTGTATGTGAAATAACTAACGGTACTCTCAGCATTCGTAAAAATTAATTCTCTGATATGTAGCGATATTCAGGTGTCGGTGTACAAATGACAAACGACATGTAAGATGCCAAGTTTCGACACCGCTAATAAGGACGTATAATCTATTTTATCTCCGTTACATTGACTGTTGTCTTGAAAAATTATACATACTGTAGATGACAAGTATGTGAACGTTTGCAGTTGGGCCAATAATTTGAGGTTATGTTTTTTTTTATCACAACCTTTCTTTGAACAAGAACTTTTGTTCCGTAAATTTCTGTCGCTATAGGTATATTCTATGGAACTATTGTACGTAAATTGCATAGCCATATGCCGTAAATCGTGCAAAATTACCGATGATATTAACATATTTCACTAGCAATAGCGGCTTTCTATTAACCTTAAGTTTTTACATTTATTTACATTCAACATTTCAATCATGATATAGAGAATTAGATTGCACGTCTATCACAGAATGTGTGATTTATTCTTCGACACAATACGTTGCCAATAATTAGTCTT